TGTCATCAGAAAGTGGAATTGACGCACAAGCTTCAACAGCCAATTCCCTTGCTTCACAAAGGTTGTGGTAAATATAGACTCAAAATAACTACATCCTCGGTGCGCATGTCTCAACAGTATTTCGTCAAGGATGTTTATTGCTCCGAGGGATCTATGGCTGCGAAGAATCCAAGCTGTGAGGCTATAAATAGCATCATCCTATATTAAACATCTAGAGCTGTACATATCACTGAAAAGTATCTAGCTAGCTGCCAGCTGTAATTCAGTATTTTTTTTTTGTCAAATCATCACACATATTTTATTTATGTAATTTTATTGATTTTATTCAAGCATTTCAGTTTTATTTTAAGCATTTTACTGAAAGATATACTGATTATGTTGTACTAATAAACTCGAAAATAAAATTAAATATTTGTATTTAAATAAGGTATTAGCTTTCTATATCATTTAATTATTGTAGTTAATAATTTTAGTAAGTAGATCTACTTAATAATTAATAAATTAATGATTAGTACTAGTAGATCTATTTATAATTTCATAGAGCTTCTTTTATCTTCATCTCAACAACATGCATTATGATTTTTGATTGTGTTGTAATATTGGTTGAAAAAATCAGTAGCCAAATAAACCTAATAAGGCAAAAAAAAATTGTTTGTTTGTTCTTCTTTTTAAAAAAAATGATAAATTTTTTTAAATTTATTAAAAAAAAAAAATACTCATCAGATGGAATAAAAACAACCCAAAGAGGCATAGAATGGCAATATCTTACATCAGACAACAACTTCAGACTAATTTGTAGGGCATCTGGCAACAAATAAAGATAAATTCACTCACATTTTTTTTTAATTTGTAAAGAAAAAAGCTAAAAAAAAACCTTTCTTAAATTTTTTTTTTCCACCCCTATTTTTTTCAGTGAAAAATTGTTTGTGGCAAGGAGGCCTAAACCTGAAAAATATTATTATTGTCGTAGATATTTTAATAAAATGATAGTTTTTTTTTCTCTATAATTTATTAGCTTGGCTTTGTTTATTTTTTTTGGAAGGGGTACACACCGAAAGAATTTGTTTTCTTCTATGTGTTCCTTGGTCACTTATTTTGTATGAGAAAATTACCAAATAAATGTTTATTGAATGAATAAACTTTCACCTGAAATTTTTCCTCTTAAAACATGACTTAAAACTAATCTTTTCTCATCCTTCTACAGTAATTGTTTTTCTTTTATGTTGATGGTTTTTGTTGTTCCTTTTTTCTTTCTCTCTTCTTAAATGTTTCTTTTGGACATTTTTTGAAAGTGCATAGAGACCTAGTATCATTTGCACTATACAAGTCTACAGCCATTACCAATACCAAAAAAAAAAAAAATGTACAACAAAATTGCAGTAGTCTCATTGAAAATATGATTGGTTTCTAATGAGACATGTCTACTCAAAAGACAGTAGTAAACAGAAATATTGTAATTGGTAATACACATTAAACATGCAATGAATCTGGGGGCGTTTACTTACAGGAAGTCTAAATATTGCCGCAAATTATGAGACAATTCTGTTTTTCCATAATAAGCAGCTAAGGAAAAAGAAAATATTAGTTTTCATTATTTTCCCCTTTTCATATTTTGCTGCCCCTCAAATTTTTATTTTGATTTTCACACACCATTTTATTCAGATGCTATGAGAATTTATAATGCCTTTCATTGCGATAGAGTGTCAGTGTTCTTTGGCTAGTGTAGATCAGATTCTGTAACAAATTGGTCTACAAGCCTATCATCTAAATCTAGAAATGCTTTGGCCATTAGGAAAAATCTCTTTCTTAAAATTTTAGATTATAAGATATTTTAGTAGTTTTTATTGTTAAGAAGTGCATGAAAGACCCACAAGGGATTTTAAGATATGGTGTTTGAAATAATTTTTATTTTCTTTATTGAAAATATAATTATTATATTTATTACTTTTCATCATCATTGTAAACCTCATCATCCTCATATTTATAAATCATTATTGTCATCTTCACTTATTTTCATAATCATCATAATTGTTGTTATCATGTTCATCGTTACCCATATTATCATCATATTTATCATATATTTATCATTGGCGTTCTAATTACCATAATCATCATTTACAATAATATCACCAGCTTTATTGTCATTATCATTATCATCATCATCATTATCACCACCATTGTCATCATCACTGTCGTCATCACTGGGGTCATCACCCATCAGCATTGTCATAATTTTAATTTTTTTCTGCACTACCATAGGGTTTTTTCCTCCTCAGTAACATTTTTTTTACTGTTGACATGAAGCAGCAAATACAGTGTCCATTCCTAATATGATTATACAATATATTTGACCAAAATAGCAAACTATCTTTAGCACTTCCTAACTGCACAACCATAAAAGCTATACTTATTATGCTGTACATGTCCATGCTTAGATAATGGCCTCGTATCACAGTAGTTTGCTGTATCTATCCCCATAGGACTTTTGAGTTATTTTTACGTAAATCAGCAGTATATTACTTGTTATTAAACAATTTCTTGTCCTAATTTGATATTATCAAGCAAATAATAATTAAATTATTGATTGCTAAAAGATAAATTACCATGATAAATTTTATGAAGTTCATGTTAATTTCTTCAGTTTATTTCTCGCTGTTGAGAGTAGTAGTAAATAGTTCCGTTATAATTTTGCACGGTTTATGGGAATTGTTTATGGCAAATAACACTGGTTTTATTAACGCATAGTGTTCAAGCCAGTGTAGCTGATTATTCTCTCAATAAATTTATTGATAATTTAGGCATAACCATTTTGCTAAATAAAAACAAATAAATTTATTTATTTTTTGTTAGCCTTTTTTGTTAGAGGATCTTTATCCAAAATAAAGTTCACTATTAACCAAGGTATGCAAAGAGTTTTGCTTCTGAGAATGAGATTTTTTTTAGTTGCAAGAAAAAAATCCTTGTGTCTCATGATAACAATTGAACCCTGAACCTGGGACCCTGGTGTCTTAACCATCAATCCACTAATCCACTCATAAAATATATCAAATGCTCATCATCTGTCATGATTTATAGCGAATGGCAGGCTGTATAATATCACCATGGACACAGTTAGCATTTATAACTGATATTTATAGACTGGTATTATAGTGCCTTGGGTGTCTAGTTAAAACGACATTAAAAGAAAAAGAAAAAAAGAAAACATAGTTGAATTATGATTCTGGTTCCGGCCTTCCCAGTTACTAGTACTGTACATTCTGTATGCAACATTATACACTTGAACTTTGGCAGTTTCATGTAGGCCTACTTTACAGTAGCGGATCCAAGAATTCGAAATGATTATGGTACTGGAAATGGCACTCTCAGACGTAAAGTTAATTATAATTTTCCCTTTTTCTTCATTTTTAAAAAATAATTTGGAAAAGTTTAGAGGGGGCCCAGGCCGGCTTGTCCCTCCCCCTCTCCCTTCCCATTTAAATCCGACAGTGGTTTATTGGCAATGTTTTTTTTTGGGGAGGGGGGATTACTGATACATGTTCCTAGAGTAATGCCCCATCTTTATGGAGTCATGCCCCTGTGTTTAGTAAGGTTAAATGGGTTCAAAGCTTTATTAGGGATACGCTCAATTCCCTTTCCGGTATACTAATTCCTTTCCAGTATACTTAGAATTTAGGAATTTGTAACCATTTAGTACTCAGTCAGCGAGATCATTCTTTCCATACTACTGTATAAACAATTAAGAGTTTTAAACTACAGTTGTATGCATTGTGTTTTAAATTGTTTTGTAGAAAACATATTTTACCTGTTAACCATGTCATATTTAATCTTTAAAAAATGAGTAAAATCTGTCATACTAGAATGTCGGTGCTAACTACATTTTAGGTTTATTGTAATTTTGTTTCCTCATGGTATAGAAAAGTACTGTATGAAATAAGATGCTTTTCAATTCAGTATAGTTAAAGCTTTCTTTTAGAAAAGTCAGTATTTAATATTTTACATTAAAAATTCAGTACAAGACATGAAAATCATAATAGTTCAAAATGTTTATTAATACACTATAATTATTATTTAATTGACACACTCGAAGATTGATAAGAGTATAAGAGACGTTGAAAGAATAATTTAAAAATTTAAATAAAAGGTGAATATAAATTTTTGTATTGTTTTATATTATTTTTTATTATATTGAAAATTATAATCCTGAGGATTTGCGATTCAAACTGTAACCCTACAGTATGCTACATCTATATGCAGATGCTATAAAGCCTTTTAATGATTAGTTTGTACTTAGTCTGAGTCTTAATAATGAGTTTGGTATTTAGCTCTAAGGTGGTGTTTGTTTTGTATTGTATTCTTATACTGTACACAATTTCCTAATTCAATTTCAGGTATTCTATATCAAGGTAAACAACAGCCTGGGTTAAACTGCAGTAATCAATTTTAAGAATAAAATCCAATATTTAAATTGCTATTGTATATTTAAGTAAGTTATTAGTTTTTAATTAAATGTAATTTCCCTTGCCAATAAACAGCCAGGTAAATAATTCTGCATGTATATTTTTTCGGCATAGACACTTAATTTGGCTGGCAGAGAATTTTAAGGATTTTTATAGTAAAAATCTGTAACCTGCTAAAAACTTACCAAAAAAATAAAAGTTACTATCATTTAATATGGGTGAAATTTTTCAACCTTCAGGCTATTATTCAATATTGTTAAATTGTATTTTTGTGGTTGTTTTTTTAGATTTACTACAGTATTATCAGTTAGGTGGACAATGTTCGCTTAATAATATTAATGTATTTTGTACAGTACTCAGATATCTACTTTAGAAATTCTATTAAAGACTGTACTGTGAATTTCTACCCTCTTTCTCTTTGCAGAAATTAGTTCTTTATTAATGTTGACAAATCACTTTGATTGAGCATATCAAATCAGATTTAATATGTGCAAATGTAAAGCCTACTAATTGCCATTTCTTGTTATTTTCTCCTAATTCCAGGACTACGCCCAGAATACGATGAATGAACTTCTCGCTATTTATGGATACGAGGGCGTGGACAAGTCTGTAACGCGCCAATTGCACCTCATGAACTTCTCTCAGAAGCAAGATGAGCTTGAAGGTTAGTCATGCTCACAAATATCTATTTTCTGCTTTAAATTTTAGGCGTAAACATATATTTGGTTGTTTAAAAGAAAAGTTTCCTTATACCAACCTACCCACCCATTTTTTGGTTTTTCCTAAAATGTGGCCAACACAAAATTTGTACATTTTTTTTGGCCTTATTGGTAAGTATGGTACATTACGTTTGCCAACTTTGCATCCGATGCACAAGACAAAAAAAAGTGAAATATTTATGTAGCACCTCTATGTAAAAATCACAAAATAGAGTGCCCTCTATTTTTTTTTTAGTTGTAGTGATCGAACTGCTACTGACTTCAGCTATCAATCAGTAAAGCTTCGTCAAAATCATTTTATATGGCCAACATTCACATTTTAATGACAAGTTTATATCATTTTTATAAATTTTAGGGTATAATCAACCTATACATTTTTATCTTTTATAAAATTGTTATGATGCATGAGATAATATAAATGTGGGTGTGAGATGTAAAAAGTGGATGCACATGCATGAGACTCGCTCAAAGTTGGCAGGCGTATACATATAGGATTTCCCTTTGCTGTCTGCTATTTATTTCTTCGTTCTGGAAACTGAAATTAACAGTATGAATTATGGTTTGTGTCATTTAAAAAAAAAAAAAAAAAATTTATAATGTTAATTTTTAATTTTTGTTTTAAATAAGGTCATATGATTAGAATTTATTCCTCTTAACATTAAGATAAAGATTTTCATAGTACATACCGTAAATGAGCAAAAATAGTTTAATCTGTGTTGTTAACTTTTGACCTACTTAAATAACCAATGCAATGTTAAAATTGAAATAGAACAAAAGCAGTATTTTTCTTGTCAGTTAACAGATACATAAATAACTGCATTGCTATTCTATACATAATCTCTTTATTGGCTAGTAATAAATTTTCATGTGGTATTAAACAAACAGTCTGTAATGTCGCAAAGATTATTATTTTTTTAAAATCCGTGTTGATAACTGTTTGATCCGATTGAATGAACAATACAATTGTTCAGCCCATAAATTTCACATCGTATGATGTGTGTACAATACAATCGTCTTGTCTTTCAAATTTCATGGCTTGAATGTTTGAATTTGGTATAGAGCAAAAAAAAAATGTTCTCATCAATTAACAGATACATAAATAAGGTGATTCTTATACTTTGTGTAAACTATTAGATTAATCTGACAGAGATTTTCATAGTATTAAGCAAGCAGTCTCAAAATAATGTTGTGACGACGCAGCTTGACGCGTAGGTCATAGTAAGATTATTTAAACATATTGTTGTGTAAGTTTTTGATCCTCCTAAATGAAAATAAACGTCACATGAGAGATAAGCCTAACTTGGACAGCGTCGTGCGACGTAGCTCGACACGATTTAGGTCATTGTAAGAATGTTTAAACATGTTAAGTAACTTTTCGATCCATGAAAATAACTGTCACATGAGAGTTAAGCCCAGCTCAGACAACGTCGTACGACGCGGCCCAACACGATTTTGGTCGTCATAAGAATATTACATGTTTAATACTCTACGATGCGGCTGTCCCCGATGCAGACCTATCGTGTCAGCTTTCACACAGACCCAACACAACAACAAATAGTTTCAAACTGTATCATACAATGCAGTCTTGAGTTGGAGCAACCAACGACACAATGAATCCATCTACACAGTATATGAGCACTTCACGACACGACTCTTTCTGCCAATTATTGGTGGTGGCCTGAGCAAGAAGAAGGCATTTATTGTTGGAAAGATGCAATGACGAACATTATTTGTCTCTTATTTGTAAGCATTATTACAGTACTTATAATAAAGTATGTATATGGTAAGCATGATTTGCCTGTCCTTACAGTATGTTTGGGGTTTAAAGTAGCCCTAATAATTATCATCCTGTGAAGGTAGGATCATGTAAGATCTACGGATCATTTTTACTCAAAATGATGTTTTTTAGATTGTTATTCTACAATATGAGCTTCATGACCTCCATATAGAATCACTACAGCATGTAATATGTATAGCTATGACATTGCTTACTATCACCATACAGAACATACAGTAGTCACCCAGCTCTCTTTAATTGTGTCTTACTGTACTGTATGTCCTGGGTTCATCACTCTGTTCAAATTCGCACAAATTATTCAAAAGGATGTCCTCTGTTTAAGTTCCTGCTCTAATTATGTTTACATGTTCACTTAATTAATTGAACGTGATTAATGATTAATTTTTTGTAGGTAGAAAATGTGTTCACACATACTTAAATATCACCATGGCAACTGTAACCTAGTTCTTTCACCCTACAGAAATATGAAAGGCTGCAAATCCTTTGCTAATAATCAGTGCTTCACTATCAATCATTAATGCCACTAATTATCTTTTCAAAGAACATGTTATGATCTGTGGCTGTGTCTTCTTCTATTTTTGGTATTTTGCTTAGAAAAAGTTTACTCTAAAATGAATGAGTAACCACAAGACGGCTATCAAATCTCACCAAACTTAGCGCTGTAGATGAGATTTTTTTTCTTTGTTTTCTGAACCTGCTGCTTGTCCAATAAAGATTATTTTCAATAAAAATTAAATATTTTTGGGTTGTTGGTGCACATGTTGCTGAAAGGTAATGGACATTTCATTAAATTATCCAACCTAATGCCACCATAATATCTCGAGTTAAAAATATAATTTTTTTGCATTTATTAGTTCAATTACTAAACTAAAAATATGTTACTGATAGTCAAGTAATAATTGATTTTAGAATTTTAATGAGTTTAATGTTATTGTTATGAATGTTTTTTTTTTTATTTAACTATTTTGCAGAAGCAAACCGTTGTGGCCAGAATGTTTCTGAGCGTGAAGATGATTCTAATTCTCAAGATTCTCTTCATCTCCAATCTGCATCCCCGCGTCTGTCATCAAACGGATCTGCTGAGCAACAGCCAGTCTCCACTTCACGTGATCAGGAGGTTGCAGGGTCATCAGATATGCGGAGTTCCTCGCTCAATGGTTAGAACTTACAATATAAGATAAATTGTTAATCCTTTATGGTAAATGCTATCCATATATATAACATTTTTTATCCTCTTTATACTAATTTACCTACTATTTGTATGCAGATGTAACTTTATATTAACTCAAATTATTGAATGAATATTCACTAGATGTTCTTCAACTCGGATAAACAAATGTTAGGAAGAAATTACAATTGGGTTTATAACAGGAAAAAAAGAACATAGAATACAACACAAAAACTAGGCATTTTCAACAAGTTGCTACATAATGTATAAAACAAAATAGGTATCACATTTGATCATGAAAATACATTAAAAAAAACATAGAACAAAATTAAAACTATGAATTATTAAAATTGTATCTATCTGGCTAAATCTATCTTGACTGCATAAACAGATAATAGTCCTCTGAAGGTCCTTAAAGTAGCAAATGAAAATTTAATTGAGTTGAATAATCAAGATTTTGTTTTTGTACAATGTCACTAGCCCCTTCTTGCTTTATCACTTTCATCGATACTTTAATTCATTTCCAGTATGATGCACTTAAAACATAAGAAACACACTGTTGATGTAAACTATACGCAAAATTAACTTTCATCTTGTACACTCAGAGATGTGTTTCCTAATCATTTTCATTTTTTAAATAACTTGTACCTAAAGGAAGAGGTATTTTAAATTTGATTTCCAAACTTTGACTACTAGAAATAGAAACATGGACTTCAAATATAGATTTTAGAAGCAGTGTGATTTAGTAGGAACAGTTTGGGTTCTCGACCTCCTCTGTCAGGATTTCAATCCCTCACTGTACATTTCGCTTGTGTTCCTCAGCAAGGCACTGCTCAGGTATCAGTGGGTAATAAAAAATCGCTTGTGGTAACCTGTGATCGACTAGAGTATCACTCTCTCTTCCACTTCATGCTAAAGGAACAGGGGACAAACTTCAGTCCATATAAGTTTGAATGGCCTCTGAATCGATTTGATTTACAGATATCAATTAACCATAGTTTTATGTTTTTACTATTGCATAGTGACAATCTTTATTACTGTCTGTCACCAGCTTCTCTTGGTTTGTGTCAAACCATTCAATATGCTAATCTTTTAGTGATGTAATTTCCTATTTGATAATACTAGTTATTGCTTGGTTATTTCACAGATCCTGATAATCGAATTCTGTGTGATTGGTGCAAGTCATACCGACCAAAGTGTTTTACCTTGAGTACGTCAACGCAGACGAAGGCATTCTGCAGCGAACGTTGTTTTGCCTCCTGTCGGAGAGTGTACCTTAAATACAATAAGAAGATTTGTAACTGGTGCAAGCACAGTCGACATAATTGTGAGTATGTCACATTTCGAAATGGAAGCCAGACTTTGCAGTTCTGTAGTGGGAAGTGTTTGTCTCAGTTCAAAAAAAATGAAGGCATTGCCACCGAGATGAACTCAAATCCCTATGATGCAGACACAGTCTATCCTGATGGGAAGAATATGGATAAGTTTCCAAACAGATCATCGCTGGATCCCAGAGGCAGTGGTGATGCTTCACCCCCTGAGCCTGTTGGTCATGCTATCAAACAATCGAACGATGGAAGAGCGGTTCTAGTAAGTCCAAAGTATAGGAGTCAGCCATTGAATCTCACCTCATCTTTACCAGGCGTAAACACCCAATTCAATTTACTGCCAACAACTCAGTTAATGCCGGGACAAATGATCAGTCCATTCCAGACCATTAACTCCCCTATTTTTCAATTTCCAACGTTCATGCAACCACACCAAATGCTTGTCCAACAGCAATCGCCTTTGGTTGTCAACCAAAATCTAAACCATACAAATCGAAGGGTGAACAACGCAACTCACGACCAAGAAAGATACAAGCATCATGAGAGTGTTGAAGACAATGGCCCAGAGAACTACCGTGCATCTGAAAGCACAAGGGTCAACAGAAGTAAAAAGAGTTCATCCAATGGACATAGACCAGAAAGATCTTCACCACAACTGTGTTCTCTGTTACCACCAACTACCATTATGGTTCCTCATCCTGTGTTTGTACCAATACCAATTCCAGTTCCAATACCAATTCCAGTTCCTGCTAACAAGTTTCCAAAGTCTTTTGAAAGAGCCTTCAACAACCAAGTACCGGAAGAAGAACCGACCTCCTCAAAAGTAAGCAGAGAACATGTTGATCGACAAGAACAAGAATACATAGAGCCGAGTGAAACAATTGACAGTGGTAGAAACAGCCCAGTAGCTTCTCATTTGAATGTACAACAAAAAAGAAAGCTTTTACCAAAACCACAAAACAGTCCATCATACATGCCAAACACCCTCCATCCATCATACATGAGCATGTCAAGTCATACTTCAGTAGAAAATGCGAGCCCTATCGATCCCATCTCCCTCCAACGTCCACAATTTGTAATGCTCAACCGCCCTCCTCCAAATAAATTGCCGATTCCACGCATGCCACGTAAACCGCAGTTAAAAGATCGTTCTGACGATGTTCAAAGGCTCATTGAAAAATATCCCCGTCAGTTAAGTGCTAGTACATCACATATAAACGGCATGAGCGAGAAGATGGGAAATGCCGAGAGTTCCAGCAAAGTTCGAGAAGCTTTACGCTGTCATTTAACGCGCCGTCTGTCGCAATCTGCAGTTAATCTTGTAGAAGCATCAAAGTTGAAATTGAGTCCATCCGATGAGCTTCGACGGAGCTTGAGTCTCAGCCGATTGAATGAGGACCAAGAAAATAAACTTGCATCTAAGGTAAGCCATAGCTTAGGCAACCTGCATGATGGTACTGCCTCTGGGAGTTCCCGTGGTGCTACAGTGACTGATGAACAGATCCGACAGGATGCAGCTCACAGTGCCATCAGACCAGAGAGCCTCAAGCGACCTCTGGATTCAGATGTGTATAGACTCATGGATCTTAAGTTGAAAAGGAAACGATTCCTTGCAGATATGGACAATACATAAAAATGTGATTTATTACTATTCAATTATATGGATTTTATATCTGAAGTACCTGTTGTATTCCTTGTTTACATTGTAGATATAAAATGTGCTTAGTAGAATAGAAATATTTAGTAAATTCTGTTTACTTAAGCAGTGCTTATTTGCATGTAATTAAGAAAAGACTTATTTTTTTCATTAAAACTTTTAATAAAATGGCAGGTTCCATTTTAAAGAGATTTTTATCAAATAATGCTTATCAAGTAGAGTTTCAAGTTTTGGGACCCAGTGTACTCACTTCGATCACGTGATTAGGACGTGGCATAATAATAAGCATGTCTTTGGCTGCATCATAGACAAAGTCATATAAAATATATGTTTCTTGCCCATGAGGCCTGACCGACAAAATGTTAAAATTTTAAGGTGAATTTTTTAAGCCCAAAATACTTACCTGGTATTTGAAAAGCATTTTTTAATATTTAATACATTTTCTACCTTAACTTGATTTTGGCTCATTGACTACCAATTAAAGGGTATGAAGTGAGTAATTGTTTACTTAGGTGTGAGACTATAATTTTTAAATTCCGATGAAGAAACACTCTTGATTTCGAATGTTGCTGCTTGGGCAACCAACAATTTTTTTTGTGGGTCTTTTTGATATAATACATTCTATTTAAAATTTTGCTGAATACTACTATTTAGCTTTGATAGTAAAATGCTTTTGATTAAATATTTTCAAGTTTAAATTTCTTGCTGGACAAGGAAAGAGTGGATATAAATTTTGTAAGTTAATCATCTTATTGAGTAAGAATGAAAATAATTTTAAAAAGAGAAAGAAGCTTTAAGAGAATATAAGTAAAACCATTGGTAGTTAATTTTTGCTATCTGTGTTGTAAGGTGAGGGCTGGGTGGAAGTGGGGGAGATGGTAGGTGTGATGAACCATCTTTATACATGCTGAAATAAGTTATCAGTTGTCATTCTCTGATGTGCTCTAATATTAACATTGCGTACAAGTGTGAACCTGTTAGGCTAACTTTTAAAATATGACTGTTAATGCTTTCCATCTACTATAGGTCATTCCTTCTTATCATCATCAATTTGATGATAATGCTTTTTTCATTATGAGTAATGGCTCAACTGTAGGGCATTCATTCTTACCATCAATTTGATGGTAATACTTGTTTCATTGTGAGTAATGACTGTTCATTTTTATCATTCTTTATCAAGAATATCAACACCACTTCTCTCAAAAACTATTGATGGTGGAGGTAGTAACACAAGGTCTCTGTCATCAATTATGTTCTATATTAGTTATATAACATTATGTCAAAACATTTTTATCCCCTTTTTTTTTAGGAAACCTTTTATTTTATTTAGAGGTTTATTTGTAACAACGGGCATACTCAAATTAAATAAAAAAATTTTTTTTTTAAATACCCATTGTGCTAATATGCCAATTGTATTATTGTTTTAAATTTGTTGCTGTCTGCAGGCGGTAGGTTTACTTTGTCAGCCAATAAAACCACTTGCTATTTTCAGAATATTTGATTAAAAATATTATTATTACACTTTTGTATTATGCAACTAAGTGCTATCTAGGCCTGATCTGAACTAGCCTGTGAGGCTAGGATGGACATAGCCAGCCCTACAGGTGTAATATTGTTTGTTTTTGGTACCAAAGTACTGTATAACCACTTCTCACAAACAAAATTCATATTTAAGGGCAGAGGGCTTATGCTTGAGAATCAATAGTATGTAGTATTTGTGAATATCTTTATTTTATTGATTGTAAAAATGTTCATACTGTATAACTTGTATTTTTATGTCTATTGTGTTTATGTTTTTAACATCATTACCTGTATGGTTAAGCCTTCTCTAATTGCATTGATTAATATTGCTGCTTTTTTTAATGTATTTCTTATATGGTTTATTCATTCTGTTGAATTATTAGCTATATTGCAATTATTTTTAGATAGACAGAAGGAAATTGCTCATATTGTGAATTCTAATGTTCATGTTTGATAAATTTGATTGTGCTATTTAAGAAGGAACTGAGTCTGGAGTGGGTGTCCCATATATCCTGAGGTTTATGCATTCCATCTGGTAGTCCCGTGTTTTCCATGCGGAAGTGCATCTCAAGCCAGACAGGTATTATGACTGGCTCACCCTAAATTGTCATGTGAACATGTGGGACGAACTGGTGAAGAGGCAGCGTTGTTTATGGCCTACCATTAGTCAGGCCAATCCCTCTGTCGCCCATGATTTGGACCCCAAAGATTCATTAAGAACAATACTGGTGGGGGGGGGGGTGGTAGAGTATATTCTAAAATGCCTCAAAACTGGTTAAAAATGGAGTAGTAATCAGTGGCGGCACCAGCGAGGGGCAGGGGGGCTTAAGCCCCTATCGGTCTGGTCAAGGGTCCCGCCCCCCCCAATCGGCCAAAGCTTGTCGCTCAGCCGTACCCAAAAAAAAAAAAAAAATAGGCCTGGTTTTCCCATCTCAGCCATTTCTGGCTGAGATGTCCCAATTTTTTTTTTTTTAATCTCGTTTTGTGAGGAGGGTACACCCCCTCCTATGCTCACCCCCGGCCCTCAGAAATGCTGCGCACTATAGTTACACCCATAATACTTAGCTCCCCCAGTCGGACATCGCAGTCCCCCCTCCCCCCCATAAATTATATCCTAGAGCTGCCACTAGTAGTATTGCCCAATTCTGTAGGCATGAGCCCTGCCATTTTTTGCCTCTGGGCAGACCTGCTAGTCTCTACCTAAAATTGTATACAGTATTGTAGGGCCACCACTATGTAGGAGTGCTACTTTAATTTTGTTCTGTTACAATGCATAAATTATTTCCCTACAGCAAAATTGTTGTTTCCAAATTCTAAATATAAGTGCATAAATTGCAACATTTAATGCAATAACATTGTACACCCTCCCCCTAACACTATCATACGCAGCAAGATTATCTCTCCCGCCCTCAAAATATGTACCATGTACTGTACTGTACATTAGATCTATTAAAACCTTGATTATTAAACCTTTGTTGTGCTCATATCAGTTGTCACGGTGTAATTAAGTATACAATTTACAATTATACTTTTTGGTTCTCACTGATTGCTGGTTCGAATGCCTACAATGTCTTGAATGGATTTTGTATAAATTTGTTGCCATGGTTTGGCATAGTACCGGTATAGTACCGTATTTGTTCTCTACATCTGCTTTTTAAAATATTTTGTAGATTCACTTTTTTTTTTTAATGCGAAATATAAGTAAAATTTTTAAAGTATTATATAAAATATATGTCTCATGATACTATGTAAGTATGGTAAGCAGTGATATATCTATATAAACCCCATAGAGAGTGGTTTAAGATATATTGATGCAGATGGTGTTTTACTGTCTAGATACCCTAAACGATAACATGTCATACTCCGTATAAGTTTTAAGTCCTCTTGTCGTTGCTGTTAAATTTGAACAGTAATATTTGAGGAAATGTATTTTTATATTTACTCATTGTATTCTAATGTACATGTACAGTATGCTTTTTAACAAAATAGTAATGTATTGCTGTTGCTATGGAAACAATTTTGTGTTTTACATACCATATTTTAAAATGTAGTTCAATCAATCTTGACACTAATGAAATATTGTGAATTAAAACTATTCTAAAAAGGAAAGGAAATTACTTTGTTCTATTTTGAGTTATATCCATCTCTTGATATACTACAGAAAAAGACTAAACAAGTGAGAGAATTCAAGATTTTAATGCAAAAACCATGAACTGGTACAATTATACTGGTACACTTATCAAGTACCTATTTAAACATATTGATAGAATTTTACCATCTGTTTGTATAGTATAATGAACATACCCTAAGCGTTGTTTGGTTTTTTGCATGAAACCATTAACAAAACAATCCAACCTTGAATTTTTAATTCTGTTGATTTTGCATTCATTCTAAAATGACATCTAATTTTGTTTATTCTATGTTTAAATTATAATTTTATTCAAGTTGTGGAAATTCAAAGTAAAATATATCATGCTTGTTATATTAAAAGTTATTAAAATTGTTCACTTAAATTTCAGTAAATATTGGAGAGTCCCAACTCCTGTATGGTGAGTGAGGGGAGAAGAAGGGTGAAAAAGATGTACATTTTACTGTACATGGCAATTTATGATAAAGGATCAGGGGCGGATCCAATAGGGGGCACATGCCCCCTCCCGTTTTTTTCACTAAATTTTTAAAATTTCAATGCAAGTCAATGTTATGTACTACTCACTTACCTTTTCTGAAACTGTTGTGCCCTTCCCCCCCTCCCTGTTTGAAAAATTCTGGATCCGCCCCTGATGATATTAATATGCACCTTTTCATTCAGAGATTTGTTCTTTTCTCAACATGTAAATTGTTATATTTTGCCTTATTTTAATAACTCCAAGTTGTACAACACATAGAATGAATTAACTAATCAACAAGAATGCATCCGGCATTATCCTTGGAGAAGCAAAATTATTGAACATTTTTAGAAGTGAAAATAACAGCTGATTAATGGCAAGCTGGAAACATACCAACTTTAAAACAAAGATTTTTCACCTGTACTCTATATGTCTCCTCATCTCTTTACCCCATCTTGTTCCACCAAAGATTGTTTAATGCGTCCTAAATTTTCATAACTGTTTCACCTGCCTCGTCATCCCATCAAAATAATGTCATGTCACCTGTTCTCACATCCCCTCCCAAGAAAGATTGTTCCACCTGTTCCCATAACTTTATAACAATTATCATTCCACCTGTCCCTATCACTTTACAACAAAATAGATTCACCTGTCTCCCACCATCACAACCTTATTCCCCTTCCCATTAAATAAAGTATATATTAAAGGCATACAAATAGCAATTGGCCCATACATACAACTAAATGATGTGTTAGGTAGGGGGAGAGGGATGAAGAGGAATTATTTCCCTTTGTTATTCTCCTGTAAAGTACTCTAGGTTTGATTTTTTTTGAACTTCTGATATTTATTATCTATTAGACCCCTCTTGCAACCGGTTTGGTAAACCATTTTAAGGAATGTAGTTCAAAAGTGACGCCTATACCTGACCAAAACACAAGCATCCTAGGTGGATTTAAGTGTGTGTGTGTTTGTGTGGGGGGAAAAATGAGTAGCCTGGACACTCCATTTGTAAATTTATATTTCTGGGCCCTCTATTTCAAATTCCTGGATTTGCCACTCGGCATGTATGTTGGCTGTTTATCTGAAGTTCTCAACCCCTTCTTGATAAATGGACGTGTTCTCCATAGGGATTCCTAGCATGTTAGACATTAAATGCTATCATGTGCTGTATGTCATATTTAATCTATGGTATGGTATTATAATCATTTTCATAAATCATATGACATTAATGTATCTCGAGACCTTTGTCACATTCTGAACATCTTCATTATGAAATACTTCACTCTTGGTAATTGCTAATATTTCATGTCTTAACATGTAGTGTTTATGTTGTAGAAAATAAAACTAAAAAAAATATTCAAATTGAAACATTCTGATTGGCTAACAAAATGATTAAAGCATCAGTATGCTGAACTGATTGGCTTTGTATAAATTATTTTCAAAAGGGAATTAAGAGTGTAAGTGTACCCATTTCTTTGAGCCTTCAACTTTTTAATCACAAGCCTGGCACCTTACCACTGTTCCATTATGATTTCACAACCATCTCCATTAAACCATTGTGAATTTGGAGAAAAATGTGAATGTAATAAAATAATCTTTTACAAGACTATTTGTCGTGAGAATGAAACTGGTAAATTCTTTTTCTTTG